CACAACTCCGAGCATGTTAAAAAAACGCCGCTTAGCATTTTATCCTGCTGGCTGCATGAAGTCGCGCAAACTGATGTCATCCCTATAAGTGAAACTGATGAAGCCAGGAAAAGAAGACAGCTCAATACAGGAGAACCTGGATCAACTGTATTCATCATTTTTTTGCGCATCTTTTAAAATACAGTCCCAGCACGATAATGAATTATCGTATATCGCTGGAATTCAAAACCTTCTGTGTTCATTTTTCCAGAAATTAGGTGGTGTGAGCGAACAAATATCCATGAACAGCGACCAGTTCTTTGTCCGACTACAAAAAAAAGGAAATTTTTGCTTGAAGCGCATAAGAAGCAGGTTGAAAGAGATCCACGGTAGCTAGCATGCACTTTATCTAGCATCACTTATTTCGTCAAAACAATGCTATTGTATCAGCAAAAGTTTTTCAACCTAAATTAAAAATTGCTTGAAAGATGAGACTTCTATAATACGGCGCCAGATATTCTGCGAAAGTTCTTGTGGAAAACTGATGCGTATGAGAAATCAATGAGTAAATTGCCTGCTTACTGACGAAATTCAAATTTGCAGGATCGTTGCACATAACGGTGAAATTAACACTCTGCGTGGTAACATCAATTTCATGTATGCTCGCGAAGGTGTGATGAAGAGTAGAACGTTTGGTGATAATCTATCCAAACTGTAATTTTTTAAAAAACTTTCAAATTTGCACTAGTACAGTCCTAATTCAAGAAGGGGAGGCACCAGTCTGAGGTTATTCCCGTCACGCACGAGTTACTAGATTTAAAAATGCATCCCACCTTTTCTGAAATTTTTGCTAAAAATGCGAACTTGAGGCGCGGAGCACCTGTGAACAGTTCCAGCTGCTTCATCTTATTGGTGTAAAGTACGTTTTTCAGGTATCCAGTGGTCGAGCGTGGCATGTCAGACTCCGGGTGCTTTGACAACGTTCTGGAATTTCTCGTTCATGCTGGCAATCGTTCGTTACCGGAGGCAGCAATGACGATGGTTCCGGAAGCATGGGAAAATGACGAGGTAATTTTCAAAATATTCTTTGACAGTACAAATTTTTTTTGAAACCCTTTTTTGCTAAATGGACATGAGGACACTTCTGAAACTTGCTCCTACATCAGTTTTTTTTTTTTTCCGCCGTCTAAATAATTCTTTCCACTCTGCTTCAGTCGTGACGTACACCTAGCATTCGACACGGCCACATGTTTTTACGACTTTTCTGTAAATAGAGCAGGAGATTCCCTGCAAAAACTTTTCTTAAAAAAAATGCGTCCCACATCAGCTGGACTTGTGTGTGTGTGTGTGTATGAGCATGTTAAAAATGAGTTGGAACTGAAAATTAAAAGCGATGCTCGGAGCGAGTCCGGATTTTAACTGAATTGTTTTGGTGAATTTCTGCCTGTTGCTGCAGGAAATGGCACCGGAAAGACGAACATTTTATCGATGGGCTGCAATGTTAATGGAACCATGGGATGGGCCAGGTATGTTTTTTTAGTATCTGCAGATTTTCATGAATTCTAGCTGCTGCAATGGCCAGCACGTTGGTAATATACTCCTACAAGGAGCTTCGAGACTGCGGCCGAAACTTCTGCTGTTGAAGGTGCTAAGCAAGAAAGACTGCTTGAAGATAAGGCCATATTTTGGCCAGCGAGACGGAAGATGCAGCCGGCGTTTGATCATCCAAAAGCTCGGCTTGAAAAGGCTGACGGTTCCGTTGTGTATCCACATATCAGCTGACGCAGAGCGCAGGGATGTAGACCGGTTTTCGTAGTCCATTTCGTTGCACCTAATCTTATTGGATACTTTTTTGGATATGATGACTTTGTAAAGTTATGGTTTTGTAATGAAACTTGCTTTTTTTTAACTTGCAAAAAAAAAAGAAGCAAATAGTGAAACCTGTTTTTTAGCTTTGCTAGCATTTTCGGATGGGCGTTACGTTGGTGCAATCCTGGACCGAAATGGCCTTCGACCAGCTCGTTACTACATTACGGACGACGATCGCATATATTTGGCGAGCGAAGTTGGCGTCATTGATTTGCCGGAAGGAAATATTGTGCGAAAGGTCTGATTTTTGGGTGTAATTTAATGGAAAAAAGTGAGCGGATGGGGATGGAGAAAGTTTTCTTTTTAGGTTGCTGTTGTTCAACATAACACGGCTTTGATGGTAATTTTTTATTCTTCTATAATCAAGAAATTTAGACGCTTCAGCCGTATGGGCCGTTTTTTTCGCTACTTTTGTTCTGAAGTCCGTAACCACGTTTTGCATCCGTTCGTTGTCAAATGAACTGCGATGATAGGATTGACTGGCTTTAGCTTTGTTCTGAGACTGGTCACGCTCCATTCTCTGGATAACACACAATTCACTCACATTTACAGGTAAAAACGTACATTTTGCTGGTTTTTTCCAGCAAAACATCTGTTATAACACGAAAGTTTCTTTCTAACAGTTTTCGCATTCTTGCGAAACTTCGAAATCCTTCAATGACTTCTTGCACAGCCGTCTAAATGCGTGTGGAAATGGAAAGTCAGGGGCTTTTTATGCGTTTTTGCTGTGCAGCGCTGCTATAGCGCTGCCCAGCAGAAACGCATAAAAAGCTCCTGACTATTCATTTTTCGAGCACACAAAAATGCACTCACTTTCCGAACACACACACGCGCAGACAGCTTTTCGACAATATGCGTTTTAGCGCTGCTACAGCCAGCAAAAACGCATATTGTTGAGAGGCTGTCTGTGTGTGTGTTCGAAAAGCGAGTGCATTTAATCCACTTTCATCTCAGCAACCAGGAAAGCTCGGAGGCTGAAACTCCGGGTATACGTTCCTACCCCGTGTGTCATCCTCACTTTTTAAGACCTTTCCCCATACGCACCTAGACCCCGTGGCGGGAAACGATTTGGCGAACCAGGCAAGGTAGAAAGATGAAACTTTGCAGGGATATTCTCTATGCACGTGCAAGCTAAAGATTTTGAACTCAGCAGTCGAGCACCCCAACCACAGCCTCAAGCAGCTCCTCAACCCAAAAATTATTAAGAAATCCATTGCAACTCAGACCCGAACCACAATCGTATTTGTAAATGGACATAGTTAATTTGCATACATGGTTTTTTATGCGTTTTTGCCTATATGCAAATTGCAAAAACGCACATTGAGACGACCCCGTCTGTGTATGTATGTATGTGTGTATGTGTGTGTGTATGTTTGTGTGTGTGTTCGTCTGTCCGGGTATTTCAACT